CCTCACCCAGCTCGTGCGGCAGCTCGTGGCAGAACACGGCCAGCGAGGTGGCCAGCCCGGTCTTCCAGGAAGATGCGAAGGCGGCGCCCACGGCCAGCCCGTCGGCGAAGTTGTGCACGGCGTCGCCCAGCGTGATCATATAGGGCAGCAGCCTTAGCCCTGCGGGCGTGGCGGGCGTGGGCCGGCGTCGGCCTGGTCCCCTACTTTCGCGCCCCCCACCTCCGCGCCCCCGGCCCGCGCCCGCGCCTGCGCCGGGCACCGAATCCCTAGCTCCTGGCCCTTCCGGGTCCTCCCTCAGGGCTCACCTGGGCTCAGTCTCCGGGGTTCCTGGCTCAGCAGCTCCGGGATCTCCTCCGCTACCTGGAGGGGGTCCATGTGGATGAGCCCCTGGGCGGGGAGGTGAGGAGGGGGGCGGCGGGGCTGGGTCCCCAGATCAGCATCAGAGGCCAGGGGCAGAAGCCCTGGACTCCGGGGTGGAGGTGTAGGCGCAAGAAGAGGTCCTTTTGGAGGGGAGTCTGCGTTGGGTAGGGACGTCGGGGCGGGGCTGGCTCACCAGGTCAGCACGAGAGCCCTCGTGGGGCTGCTTGGGTGGCCGGAGCTCACTCGGCGCCAGCGGCAGGGACACGCCGTGGCTGTGGCCGCCGTGGCCGTGGCTGCAGGGCCCGTCCTTCGGGTCCTGCGGGGACAATGGCTCAGGGCCTGCCATGCCTCTGCCCTGTCCACCCACCGCGTCCAGCCCGCACGCTCCTGACCTCCGGGTGTGAGGGCAGCAAGAGGTTGAAGACGTTCTCGAACAGGAAGAAGGCATAGAGGCCGCCGAGCATGGCCACCAGGCGCCAGGTGGGCTGTGGGTCCAGGCTCTCCCCATCGTGCGAGTGCAGCCCAAGCACCTGGGGGAGCAGGGGACACTGGGCCTGTGCCTCAGGCCTCCTCCCCCCAGACAAGGAGAGAAGAGTTATCGGGCAGAGAAGGGCCCCAGAGGGGTGGGCCTTGAAGGAGGGCTGTGTAGGGGAGTCTCTAGTGGGGGAGGGAGGGTCCTGGCTGTGGCCAACCTTGGGCGTCAGGTGCAGGAGGGCATCACCGGTGAGCGCACCCACGGCCAGGCTCAGGAAGGTTTGGATGACGTAGTGGGTCGCAGTGCTGCAGCAGGCACAGGTCAGAAGCAGGAGACCGAAAATCGCGCAGAGGCAGATGATCAGTGTGGCCAGCGAACCATACAGGTACTCTGGAGGCGGGTGGTGGGGGCTGAGGTGAGAGCTTCCCTCTCACCCTGAGCCCTTCCCACTGCTTCCCAGGGGAAGGTGTCCAAGTGGGGTCCAGGAGTGAGCAGGAGCTCACCAGGGCTGCAGGTGGCCAGGTTCCGACCAGACCTCTGCTCATGCTAACCCTCTGGCCTCAAAGTTACATCCTCTTCCCTTCCAGGCCCCCCACATTTCTGTGACCCCTCTCCTCTGATGCCTCTCTCCCACCAGCCCTGGCCCAGCTCTCCCCACCCCTCCCCCAGCCCAGCGGCCACTTCCTCTTCCTTGTGCAGCCCCACCTCCATGTTGCCAGCACCCCTGGGCACAACCAGGCAGGTACAGCGGGGGAGGTGGGCACTCACTCTCCGCCTGGCTGAGCTGGTCCTGGGTGGAGGACTCTGGCTGAAGGCTGCAGGCCCCACTCAGTTGCTGCTGGAGCAGGGCAGGGCTCAGCTGGGCCCAGGCCTCTGGGGTCACACCAGCCTCCTCGGACAGTCCATACACAGCCATCACATCCCTGGCACTCAGACATACCTGGGGGTGGCAGGACAGGGGGTCTGGAACCTGAGCAGACCAGTAGGACCCCACCTCTCCCTAGGACTATGGCACATGGGTTGCTCACTGTGTCCCACGTGCTGGAGCTGCTGTTGGGGGTGGCAAGGCGCACAGGGCCCTGGTAGTTGGCCCCTTTTCCCAGATGACTGTGGTCATCGTCGTCTTCATGGGTCTCACCTATCCCCAGGTGCTGCATCAAGGCCTCCAGCTCTGGCGGGGAGAACTGAATCACAAAACCTGCATGGGCTCCAGCCCTGCCCTTCTCAGGGACATGGAGGCTGGGGGCTCAGGGCGCCCCCACTCTGTGGCCCAGCCCAGGCCTCACCAGCCAGTGTGATGTTGGGACTCTCGCTGCTGTGCTGCCGGAACACAAAGTCCACAAAGTACTCGGGGGTCGGCAGGGCCTGGATGCAGGATCCGCTCCTGATATGGTCCAGCAGGACGGCTAGCACTGGGCCTGGGCTGCCGGGAGCCCCCGCCCCTGCGGCCTCCTCCAGCAGCTGAGGCAGGTCCACACAGGCCTAGGGGAGGAGCTGGGCCTCAGCCTTGCCCACAGTGTGGCCTTCCTGGCCTCCAGCTCTGCCATCACCCCTAGTGCCACCTGGATGCCACTGACCCCAGGATCTGCCTCGACAGGGCCCCGGCCCGGCCACCTCCGAGCACCACCTCTTCCTGCTCCTGGAGACCTGGGCCCGCCTCTCCCCTCCCTGGATCCCCTTCCTGGGACCATAGCCCTTCCCCTCCCTGGCCCAATTGGTCCAGACCTCCGCCTTGCCTCCTGGGCTCCTCCCTGTCGCTCCTGGAGCCTTCTCAGCCCCTGTCCCTGGTGAGCCCCCAGTCCCAAGGCTCCTGTAGCCCCTGCCCCACTGGGTGGTGAGTATCCATTTGTGATCTCCCAGCCCAGCCCAATCTCTCCAGTGTGTCCCCAGACTCTCCCAGGTGCCCAGGAAGGCTTTTCCAATGTTCTGCCCTCCGCAGGCAGGCCTGACCCCCTAAGTGGTGTCCCCTCTCCTTGGATCCCCCTCGAGTCCTCTTCACCTACTCCCCCGGCCAGCCTGCCTGGGCACTCACCTCCTTTGCAGTGGACTGGCCAATGGCCTGGACCTGAATCCTCTGCAGCAGCCTGCTCAGGCCTGGGGTCAGGGCCTCGGGGCCCTCAAGCAGGGCCAGGAGGTGGTCGGCGCGGGAAGCCCAGCGGCCGGCCCGGATGTCTGCACATGTGCCCTCGGGGTCGCTGAGGTAGAGGGCAGCAGCAGCACTGAGACGGGCGATGTGCCCAGGCTCCAGGACTGACGCCCGAGAGGGCCCTGGCTTCTCAGGCCTGCCCAAGGCCAGGGCGTCATCTACAGACAGGCACTGTGGGCAGAGACAGGCGGGCAGGGCCAGGCGCCTGTGGCTGAGGAGCTGCCCACTTCTTGCAGGGGCCACACACACCAATCGCCACCTTCTCCCTCCCACACCCACGCACTCCCCTTGCCATCCCCTCCCCACTGTCAATTCCAGGAGTGCACACACACAGGGGCCCCAGGCAGTGGTCCTCCCATCCTGTGGTGGTTTCTTCCTGGAGCCACTGCCAATTTGATGGCCTGGGGACTGCGAGGTGGGCGGGTGGGGTGGGGGGGTTGGTTTTGGAGCTGTGTGCCCCCAGTACAGACCCCTACCCCAAGGAGCACAGGCATGTCTGAATAGGAGCAGAGGAGGGTGGGTTCGGGCCTGCAGGCAGAGCCAGGTCGCTCAGGCGGTCGGCCATCCGGCCTCGGCCCGCCTCCTGGAGTTTGCCCAGGGCCCTTTGCTGCCGGCCCTCGGGGTGGAGCGGGCCAGGGCTGGGGGACCTGTCGGGTGGGGCTGTTACCTTTCCACACGGCCCATCTGCGCAGTGCACACGGGCCGCCAGTGTATTTAACAGGCCGCCCAGTGCCACCTGGTCCAGAGCACCCTGGCCTGAGGACAGCAAGGTCAGCAGAAGGGCAGGCTGAGCTGCCATCGCGGTCACCACCAGCACAGCCAGCAGCAGCCCCGACTTGAGCTGGACCAGGCCTGCCATGCTGAGGCCCCCGCGCACTTGGTGCACTGGGGAGCCTGTGCACACCAGGCCTGGCTGTGGGCGCAGGCTGCCTGGGGCTGGACTGAGGCTGGGCTCGGACCCGCCCGGCCCAGGCATGAGGATCTCTCCCAGGTATTTCCTGCAGGGCTCTGTGATTGGCTGCTGAAGGCGTCGTCGTAGGTTAACCATTCCAGTGGCAGATCCTCCCCACAGCGAGGAGCCGCTGCCTGTGGGGGACAAGGGCTGGGCCCCTTCCCCTGGACAGGGTAGCCTGGGCATCTGCTAGCCTGCCTGCTATCCCCTAGAGCTGCCGGGCAGGGCTCCCCCCTGGCTCCCCAAGGGTCTGGGGTGTTGCCTCCTGCAGCCCTCTCTAGGGACTGCCCCCAAGCACGGGGGCCTGGGGCAGAGGTACATAGATACCCCCACAGTCTCACACAGACCCCATCCCCAGCAATCCGCCTGAGAGCCCCCCCCCGGGACACCCTTGCCTCACTCCCCTCCTAGCCCCTTCCCAGTAGGGTCTCCCTGGCTCAGGCAGTTTAGACAACCCCACCCCCTATCCCCCCGAGCCTTTGAGGTCCCAGTTGGTGGGGATGTGGGGCCCTCCCCTCCTAGGTCCTGGACTGAAGCCCGTACATGGACAAACGGGAGCCTGGGTCCTCTGCTCCCCTCCTCCCCAACTTGGTGAGGGGCTCTGCGGGCAGGAGGAAGTGTGGCTGTAGGATCCCAGGCTCTAGGCTCAGGGGCGTGGGGGAGGGCTGTTGCTCCCAGCTCTGCCCTGTGCCCCTCCCCGCTGGTTCTCTCTCCGGCCTTTGAACCCGTTGGCCTTATCTCTGCTTAGCTGGCAGTCTGGGGTAAGGGGCAGACCTCAGGGAGCCAGCCGACACCAACACCTGGGTCTCAGGGCAGCCTTGCCTGCTGGAGGGAGCGTGTGGGTGGCCCTTCCGCACTTGGTTCAGTGACCCCTGGCCCTGAGCATGGATATTACATAGAGTCACTACAATAACACTGTGCTATGGGGTGGGGTGTGGTTGGGGTGGGGAACCTAGGTCTGAGGACTCTGTCCCCAGTGTCCTGTGGCGCCCAGGGCAGGGCATCAGGCTGAGGACAGTGTCCTGGGCCTGGAGTCAAGTGCTTCTCCTGCGCACCCCACCCACACACATGCTGGACAGCACCAAGGTGTGACATCTGTGGGTCCTAAGGGGGAGCTGGGGCAGGGGAGGGGATGGGAAGAGGCTGCTGGGATTCAGATGATTCCTGGACCCCCTGGGTCAACGAGGAGGAAAGATGGAGAGATTCAGGCACCCCCTCACACAGTTCTTCAAACTGTGAGCCCTAACTGGCCTTTTCCCTCCCCACTGCGTCAGGACCGCTGGGCTGGCTGGAGCTGGAACCTGGGACTAGGCTGCTGCCTCAGGCCACCCACTGCTCAAGGGCCTGTTAGCTTCCGGGCAAAGGTCTCAGCCAGGCATCTACCCGGCCTTCCCAAGTCCCCAGCCAGGTCCCTAGCCGAGTAGCAGAACCGCCTGAGCCCTTGAGGGCCTGGCACATGGCTGGCACTCCCCTGGGCAGTCCCTCAGGCCTCAGTGGACCTCAGTGCTGGCCCACATTCCTCTGCCTCATGTCGCCCCACCTCTCCCAGCTGATGCCCTCCTTCCTAGCCCAGAGCAGCCAGAGAGAGTCACTAGCTCCCCTGTACATCTCCCTGCCCCCTGCCTGGTGCTGGGGTTGTCCTCTGGGTGCTGCACCCTATCCTGTGTCCCCAGACCCCTCCTGCATCATTCTGTCAGCCAACAAGCACACTGCAGTCACTCCTGTCTTAAAACGTACACTTGTGTTCACAGCAGCATTCACAATAGCCAACACAGAAACAACCCGAGTGTCCATCTACGGATGGATGGATAAACAAAATGTGGTACATACATACAATGGAATATTATTCAGCCTTAAACAGGAAGGAAATTCTGATACATGCTACAACATGGATGAACCTTGAAGACATGCTAAGTGAAATAAGCCTGCCACAAAGAGACGCATATTGTATGATCCCTCTCATATGAGGTCCCTAGTGGAGTCAATCTTGGGACAGAAGGTAGAATGGTGGCTGCCAGGAGCTGGGGGTGGGGAGGATGGGGAGTTGTTGTTTAATGGGGACAGAGATTCAGTTTGGGAAGATAAAGAATACTGGAGATGGATGGTGGTGATGGCTGCACAAGATTGTTAATGTACTTAATGCCACTGAACTTAGAAATGTTTACAATGGCGAATTTTATGTTTTATATATTTTATTGCAATAAAAAAATAAAAATAGACCAAAAAGAACCCTCCCTGGTGCCCTGCCCCTTCAGCCCTTGACAGCACCGCTTGCGGCTCTGGCTCTGGCGGCCTCTCCAGGCTCCCCTGAAGCCCCACCTCCCCCTACTCTCATCAAGGTCATGGAGATCCCCAAAGGCCAGACCTACTGGTGTTTCGCCTTGGCTCAGTCTGCCTTGGACCCCCTGGGTCTCCTACCCTGGTCCTGGCTGCCCCTTCTTTGGCTCCTTTGCTAACCTTTCTATCTCCAACCTCAAAGCATGGCAGTGCCAGTCCTTGGACCTCGAGTAGAATTCCTGGCACCCATGATCGCAGGCTTTCACCCCAGAGACACCAAACTTTCGTCCTGCACACTTCTCTCTCCAACTCCAACCTCCGATGTCCAGCCACCCACTTGACAGCTCCCCTTGACTGCCTGAGAGGCAAGCCCAACTCAACCTGTGCAAGCAGAGCTCTGGCTACAGCCTCCCAGAGCCCCTGCTCTCCCCGTGCACATTTCAGCCAGAGCTCCTCTAACCGTTCAGCTGCTCAGGCACCAAGCCTGGGTGTAATCCTGGAGTTCTCACCCTCTACCACATCCAGCCTAGCAACAAACCCTGTGGGTGCAACTCGCAGCACAGTCCACACCCAGAACCTGACGGTCCGTCATCACCCGCCTGGCCGGCCCTAGCCACCCCCCACCAGTCGCTCTGTCTCTGCTCTTTCCCCCATAAGACCCAAGTGAGATGGGGGCATGCCTCTGCTCTAAGCACCACCCGCCTCCCCTCCTCCTTCCCTGCTCCCGCTGCAGAGCCTGGCTCCCTCCTTGTTCTGTTCAGTGTCCGCCAGCTGGCCCTGACCAGCCCACATGAAGCGGCACCTCCCCACTAGTGGCCTCCAACCTCGTTTATCACCACCTGAAATGCCACACGCCTTGCCTCGTGCTTCTAGACCCCATAGATATCAAGAAGCACCACTGAGAATGAGAAAATGCTACAATTAAACTCTGGCATGTCGCCAAACCCAATGCCAGAGTTGCTAAAACGTGAAGCAACACATCTTTGAGTCCAGAGCTTTGGTCTTGTGGTTTGCTGCTGTCTGCCTGCGAGGACAGGGACAAGGACGTGGACACCACAGGGCAGGGCTGCCTTCAGTGCTCACAGCGCCTGCCTCATAGCAGGTGCAGAGTAAACACTGAGAAATGAACCAGTGTTGGCCTTTGCACACCCGTGTCCCCACCACGCAGCCTGTTGCTTCCCTCACCAGGCCTCAGGCAAGGCTGGCCCAGGGGCTCTGTGGCATCCACTGGCCAGGCCTTGCTCCTGGGCAAGGACCCTTGGTGGCAGGCAGGAGGACCAACTGCCCCCATCATGAGTTATCTACTGGGCTCCAACAAGCCACTGTACAAAGGCAGAGCTCGGGCCGGCCCTGTGGCTTGGTGGTTAAGTGCGCGCGCTGCGACGCTGGCGGCCCGGGTTCGGATCCCGGGTGCGCATCGAGGCACCACTTCTCTGTCCATCCTGGGGCCGAGTCCCACATACAGCGACTAGAAGGGTGTGCAGCTGTGACATACAACTATCTACTGGGGCTTTGGGGGCAATAAATAAAATCTTTAAAAAAAAAAAAAACAAAGGCAGAGCTCTGCTGCGAAAGGTTAGAAGCCCTGTGTTGGCCTGCAGTGTCCCCCAGGGCGAGGAGATGCTGGTGGGGCTGTGGCCACACTTCTAAACCTGAGGCAGCACAGTGACCTCTGCCTCCAGCCAGCTGGGCCCCCAAGCTGCCTAGACTTCTCAGATGAGGGCTGGGGGAGGCAGGTATGGCTGGCAGCCTCCTCTGTGGTCAGATTCAAGCCACACCTGGTCCAGGTGAAGGCTCATTTGCCCTCGCTTGCCCAGGCAGTGCCCACCAGGAAGGCTGTGGCCCCTAAATTGGCACTCAGGCCCTTCTCTGATGAACTGGCTGTGTGCTTAGAGCCTGTGTGCTCCAGGATGGCAGGATCCCACCTGAGGCCCAGAGGGCAGACATGCAGGGCAGGCCTGGGGAGAGAGCCACCCACAGCAGCAAAGAGGTCAGAAAGCACCTTTATTGTGGGAAAGGGGAGAGTGGCTTCTGGGGTCAAGACACCATGGATGGACACACAGATGGGGCTGCTATGGGCAGTAGGAGTTGCGTGGACTGTCCAGGGGGTCGGGCGTCCGAGGGAAGCAGGAACCATCGTGGGAGGCTGAGGCCCTCCAACGGGCCCCCGAGTGTCCCCTCCTCCATGCACAGCTGGGGCAGGAGGCTGCACGCTCAGGCGTGCAGGAAGCGGTTGAAGGCGTTGTAGGCCGACTCCAGGTCGAAGAGCATCTGGCGCACCTGGGAGTCGTCCAGCTCGTCGGATGCTGACATGCCGCTCAGGGTCTGCAGCCTGTAGGAGCACAGTGCCAGGGTGTGTGGGCTTGCAGGGCTGTGAGGGCGCAGGGCAGCTCAGCCAGGGGGACACTCACCACTGGCTGACTGTCTGGCGGCCCTCAAAGTCGGGGGGCAGGTGGCTCATACGGTGCATAGTCTCCATTAGCTCCCGTAGGTCAGGCTGGATCTGAAGACACGATGCTACGCTGGAACCACCCCCCATCCCCTGCTGTGTGCGAAGCCTGCCCCCCTGCCCCACCACCACTGGTGGTCCAAGTCCCCACCCCCACCCCACTCAACCCAGGAGCCATACCTCATCCATGGCCCGGATCTCCAAGCGCAGCTTGTCCATCACTGTGATGAAGAGCTGGGGGCGAGCGTATGAAGGAGGCAACATGAACCCACCCCAGGGTCTGAGGATGGAGACCACTTGTAGCCCACAAGCCTGGCTCCTCTGCAGGGGTGAGCCCAGGTCAGCCCTCGCCCAGACCCTCTGGCCTCAGGAAGCCATCCTCTCCCTCCTCAGCCTCCACTGTCCGGTCCCTTGGGCCTCCTCCTGCACACCATCTCTGCAGCCTGGTGCTCCCCCACATGCCACTTGGCCCGCAGATGTGGGGGCCACTGCTGTTCCTGGCCCTGCTTTGGCGGGGCCTCCTGGGGCTGTGGGTGTGTGGGAGCCCTGGCTGCACTGAGGCTGGGCATGTTCCACATGGGTCTCAGGCTGGGGAGGGGCCTCGGGGGGGCTTCCTGGACGCTGCCCAGGGAGAAGGGCCTGTCCACCTCTCACCCCCAGCTACAGGGGCCCCCACTCAATGAGTCCAAATGCTGCACGGCCCTGAAAGCCCCAGGACTCTGTGCACGTGTGACCACAGCGGGCAGCATCGGCCCTCCTGCCTCCCCGCAGGGCCCGGGAGGCCATGGGGCGCACCGAGACAACATCCGCTATGCAGCGGTTGAGGTTGCCCTTGTCGTCCTTGATGGTGATGGGCCGGTCCTCCTTGATCCTCTCCATGGCGAGCGGGCAGTCCAGCTGAGGGAGGGCATGTGGTGCTGAGCCTCGCAGGGCAGCGGGCCCTGTGCTGGCCAGGCCCCATCCCAACAGCACCCACACCTCCCAGCTCCCACCCCTCAGGGTGGAGAGGCAGCTCACTCACACGGAACTTGCGGCAAAACTCATCAATGGAGCTGATCTCTGAGCCCTGAACCTGCCGGAAGGCGGCTTTGTACTGGACCAGAAGCCGGGAGCAGGCCGCCGTGTACCTAGAAAGACGGCACATGCTGTTCTCCCTCGGGCCATCCAGACACAGGGCAGCTCTCATGGAGGGCTAGCTGATGGGTCAGAGATGGGCCATTAGGGGAAATCTGGTGGGTCTATACAAGGAAAGAGCCCTAGATGAGAAGGAAATGCAAGATATGGCTGCCACACGGGACCAGGCCTGGATCGTCGGCCCCAAGCCCAGCACTGGGCAGGGGCCTGGCCAGCCCCTCGTGCCCACTCTCCTAGAATGTCGACCGTGCCTCCACGTCAATAGCTCATGGTCCTATGGGGCAGGCCTATGCCACTGCGTACCTCCTGGGCGCCAGGCCTGGCCAGCACCACCTCACAGACTGGCCTCCCTGACCCTCCTGCTTACCTTCTGAAGCCCTCTCATTGATGAGGACATCAGTGCCCAGGGGAGCAGGGCTGGAACGGAACCCCTGCACCAGGGTGATAGGCACACCTCTCCCCTGGGACACCTCAGTACTGCTGCCAGGCCTTCCCCAGTTGAGACAACCCTTAGGCCACTAGCACCCAGGGGCACCATCCTTGTGCTGGGCAGGCCCCAGAGAAGTGGGCACACTCACAGCCTGATGGAGGAAGCAGAGGCCCACACTGACCCCCAGCTCAGGCCTCAGACCCTTGCTCCTGCTTCCTACTAAGCACCCAGGCTCTGGAGGGCAGAAACAAGCTTCCAGGGATGAGTGCCATCGATGCCATGGGGACAAGAGACTCTCACTCGTTGGGGGTGACACAGTCCTTGATGTATGCCTTCTCCAGGGCCTGCATCGTCTTCACAACTGCGAACAGCTCCGCCATGTTGTCATACCTAAGGAGAGTGTGTTTATTGGACTGCAACCGCCGAGGCAGAGAAACCAAGGCCCTCAGAGCCTGGGGTGCAGCCGCCTAGGCACAGCCATGGCAGCTCTGTATACAGTCTGCCTCCTTCATCCTGTCCCCCCCAGAGGCTCCACGGCACTGCAGCACCACTTCCCCAGCCTGACACCATGTCCTCCTGACCCTTGGTTGTGGGGGGGGTTTGGGGTTGGGAGAGGTGAGCAGGCATGGGGGTGTGCACTGGGGTGGGCAGCCCGGGTCCTGGACTCACTTCTCCCGCTCCCGGGCATTCTTGTACAGCTTCACTTCCTGTCAGAGAGGGGGCAGTGTGTCAGCCAGTGGCACCAGGGTGGCTGCAGGGCCCTGGGGAGGCTCACATGTGCATTTGCCGTTGGCCAATGCCAGCCAGGCGGCGTCAGCCACTCACCTCGTACAGCTCGGGCTTGTTTCCAGAGGCTGCAACAGAGGAGGCAGAAAGCTGGCAGGCTAGCCATAAGGCAACCCCTGATGGACCTGTCCACCTGCCCTGGCCCCAGTCCCATTTCAGCACCCCTCCCGAGGCCTCTCCCTGTGCTGTCCCCAACAGCCCAGAGGGAGCTAGAGGATGGGAATTCCACTCTCAGCCCCTCATCAGTTTCTGGGGGGACCTGAGCAGAAGACTTGCCTCTGGGGCCAGGGGGCCATAAGCCAGGCCCAGTCCCTCATCCCACCACTGTCCCTCGGCCCCCTCACTGTACAGCAGGGGGACCACACCTTGCTTAAGGGGCAGAAACAACGTGTGTCACATGCTTTGTGACCTTTCTCCTGGCTTGGTGACTCTGGGATGCCCAGAGCCCCTGAGGATCCAGCTGCACTAACGCTGTCATCTCTATGCCCAGCCAGCCCCACCTGGAGGAGGTCTCTGGGCCCCAGCATTAAACTGCACCAGCCCTGGGCCATACCCTTAGGCTGTTTGGGGGGGATGCTTATAGACGTCCCCCAATCCCTGGCTACTGCTCCCGGCAGCCTCTGCAGCAGGGGTTGAAAGCCTGGGCCCTTCGGGTCCCTGGCCCAGCTTGGCCCACACTCACCTCCCACACCCGGAGTGGCTGGAATCCCATGAAACATCCTGCAGGCTCAGGCAGCAACAGCAGAGACCTGGGGAGCAGAGCCAGCGCTGGCTCAAAGGTGACCCCGAACCCCTGAGCACCAGACCTCACAAGGAGCCTCCCTGCCCGCCGCAGGAAGAGAAACAGCAGTGAACACACAGGGCACTGTGTGGCCTGGTGGAAATACCCATCCCACCCCGGAGGCTGTCAGGAGTGGGTGCAAGAAAACAGAGCGGTGCGTAGGGCATGGTCAGGGCAGGCAGGTGACCAGAAAGAAGAGGAGGCGAGGTGGCAGCTATCGGATGGGGAGGAGCATTTGCACAGAGTGAACAGCACACATCCCACGAATTTGGAGGAACAGACAAGCTGGGGGCCGGGGGCTTTCTGAGTGAGGGCTTCCTGGGGAACGAGAATGGAGAGGCAGGCAGGACTAAAGCCTGCAGCTCCTGCAGGTCAGGAGGAGCCTGGGTTTCATACTAACGCAGCTCCAGCTACTGGAGGGTTGAAGACAAGCTCTTCGGACTCCCAACCAGGCAGGGAGCTGAGAAAGCCCGGTAGCAAGAGGCCCCTGGGAGGGTCCTGCCAGTCAGGAAGTCGATGGGTGGCTGGTGCCAGTTCCAGACATGCTTTGAAGACGAACCACCAGACCCACTGAGGGATCCTGAAATAGGGTGGAAATTAAACAGGAGCCAAGAATGACAGCCCTGTTTTTAGCCCAATGGTACCATGACCGCCAGGAGGCCAGATGGAAGAGACGGGAACGGGAGCAGGTTTCCAGGGCAGGCAGGTGTGCAGCAGAGCGCACCCTGGTTCGGGTGTGTTGGGTTTAAGGGGCTCCCCGGACAACCCAGAGGCGTGCTGAGGCAGCTGGAGGCCAAGAGAGAGAGGCCCAAGCTGGCAGTGCTGGGCCGGCGACACCGTGGGGGAGGATAGTCTCACACAGGGGACGATTAAGGGATGAACGAAGATAAAAGAGATAAAGCAGCCAGGCCGGAGGCCCGGGCGCCCAGCGCGCGGGGCTGGAACGGCGCGTCTCGGACAGGGAAGGGCCGTGTCCGAGGCAGGTGCGGCGACAGGAGCTCCCCGGGTGCAGTCGCGGACACGACCCGGCAGCCTTCCCGGAGGCCGAGGAGGAGGGAGCCCGGTCGGACGGGTCTGAAGGAGGAATAAGGACTCTGGGCAGCCCCACGGCGGGTTCCATTCGGCTATAAGGACGCATGTCCCTGGAACACACGCACCAGAGGTCCAGCGCGCCCCCAGGGGACGCCCGCCAGGCCGCCGCGCGAGGCGCACTCGGGGGACGGCGGGGCCGCGCTACCTGCGGGCGGGGCGGCCAGGCCCGAGCAACCGCCGCAACGAGGCCTCGCTCGCAAGCGCCAACCCCCGGGCAGAACCAGGAGATCCGGGGTCCCGGGCACGAAATGGGGAGCCTTCTGCGGCGCGGGGACGGCCGCGGGCCTAGGCCAGAGTCGCTTCCCCCTCCCGCCCGCCCGGAGCCAAAGTACCTGTGCGGGCTCGGCGGGTCCCGGAGATGGCGCCTGCGCCTGCGCACATCTCCCGCCATCGGCTTTCCCCGGCTCGTCCTCGCCTGCGCGCGCCTCCCCCCAACCCCCGTCAGCGCTTCTCCCCCTTCGGCACGCCCTCTCAGGTCTGCGCCTGCGCGCGCCGGGGGCGGTCCCGCCCGGGCCTCCCGCCACTCCCCCGACGCGGAGAGCGGGTACTCGGCCCGTGGTGGGTCCCCTGGCCCTTAGCACCTAGGTGGCCGGATCGGCCCGCAATTGCATTGGGCTCTCAGCTTCCCTACGGCAAAGCGGACATCCGCTTTCGGCCTTGCAGCAGCAGCCGCGCTGGTTTATTAGGGCTTCGTGGAGGAGGGGGGCGGGGCGGCACCGTCAGAGGCGCCTGAAGAAGAGCTTGGGGCCGCGGTCCACGGTGCAGGCGCCGGGGCCCTGCTGGCTGGGCAGCAGCTGGCGCAGGGCGTCCCGGTCCTCGGCGGAGAGGCGTCTGCTGCACAGCTGCAGCTCCTGTAGCTGCGCAGTGATCTTGTCCCAGAGGCGCAGGCCCAGGGGGCCCTGGACGGCACAGCCTGCAGAAGGGGCAGGAGCAGGCCTCAGTTGGGCCAGCCTGCAGGAGCCCATGGTGTTCAGGCAGGCCCCAGGGGACTCCCAAGCCTGTGTCCCTCTCTCTTCACCAGTCTGGTCCTCGGGAAGAAACACCTCCCCTGAGGCCCCAAGGGCTCCAACGAGGTGCGTGGGCAGAAGCCCAGGAGAGGCCTGATAACAGTCTAGGAAGGAGTGCTCTCCCAGAGGGGCTGCCTGGGACCATGGGCACCTTCCACAGTGGTCAGGCAGGAGGGAGATCGCCTAAAATAAACGGCATTCACACCTGTGCCTCTGACTGTCTATGATGACAACTGGGTTTCTCCATCCATAAAATGGACACAATAGGGCTGCCTGAGGGGCCGCCCTGGTGGCGCAAGTGGTTAGGTGCACGCGCTCCACACAGGGGAGCCCAGGGTTCGCAGGTTCGGATCCTGGGTGCTCACCAACGCACCACTTGTCAGGCCATGCTGTGGCAGCATCCCATATAAAGTGGAGGATGGCAGCGTCCCATATAAAGTGGAGGAAGATGGGCACGGATGTTAGCCCAGGGCCAGTCATCCTCAGCAAGAAGAGGAAGATTGGCAGATGTTAGCTCAGAGCTGATGATCTTCCTCACAAAAAAAAAAAAAAAAAAAAAAAGGCTGCCTGAGTCTCAGGAGGACACTAAGCTGCCAAGGCTTGATCCTCAGAGAGGCCAAAGTGCCCTGTGGGCTCAGGACCCCAGAGAGCTTGGTGAGAGGGTGCAGATGCCAGGAAGCCAGGTGTCTGGGGAGCAGCCCCTCAGCTGAGTGCTGGTCTCCCACCAGCCTGCCTTCAGGGAGGCCTTCCTAGAGGAGCCAGCCCGGCCCTGTGGGGTGGGGACTAAGGAGAGGAAGAACCCAGGGGTTCCCCACGTGCATACCCACTCCCAGCCCTTGTCCTCCTGGGAGAGGAGAGCACCAGGCTTTGGTACTCTCCTGTTCCAGGCCCCAGTTGGACGTGCCAGGCTGCTGGGTGGCCAGTTCACCAAATGTACCCCGGAGGTCATCCTCAACAGCTCTGGTGGGGTACTGTGCCCAGATGTGGCCAGAATGAGAACAAGCTAAGTCAGGCCAGAGGCAGGGAAGGTAGGGTCAGAGCAGCCCCTTCCAAGTGGGAAGGTCCCTTGGTGGTAGCTTTCACCACCCTGCCTTTGAGCTCCCTCCTCTTGCCAATGGCAATGAAAAAGTCCCTGCGGATAGGGATCCCCCCAGCCATGGCCAAGGGTCAGGCCGAATATACCAGAGGCAGAGACCTCATGCTCCTCCTACCCTATCCTTTCAGGAGCTGGGCTCACACCCCCTTCCAGTCACGCTGGTCACTGTCCCCCACTGTGTCACCCTTGCTGTCTGGCTGGTGGCAGTGATAGTCCCTTCAGAGGAAACACCTGGGACTCAGGCAGGTCTCTGAGGAGAGAGGTGTCACCAGCCCTGGTGTGGCAGCTGTGGCCAACACACCTAAAGCTCACCTGACAGGCTGAGGAAGCTGAGGCCTCGGGGCCGCTCCTGGAGGACAGACAGGAGCTCCTCCAGGCCAGCACAGCCGATCTCGGGGTTGGCAGATAGGTCCAGTGAGATGAGCGAGGGGCACAGAGGGAGACATCTGAGACAATGAAGGAAGAAGCATGAGGGTCAGCTTCCAGGGAGGGAGGCCCCCCTCCACTAGGTAAAGCTGCCCTAGGCAAGCCCACAGCTCTGGGAGCCACAGGCTAGGCCTAGCAGGCCCCAGCCCCAGCCAGGCAAGGACATGTGCCAGGACCACAGGGGCCAGGCCTGGGTGTGCCTGCCTGGCTTGGGCATCCCTAACACTCCCGAGAGCCAGCTGATGCTGGACAGTCATGAGAGCAGTGGCCCTTGTGTGGACTGTTGCACAAAGAGTGACAGGAAAGGATACCCCGGAGGGAAAGGCTCTCAAGAGCCACGGGACTGTGGGAAGAGAGAAACATGAGGAGGGCCGGCCCACAGGCAGCGGAGAAGCTGGAAGGAGCCAGGTCTTGGGGCACACTTGGGGAAGGAGCTGGCACCACCTCTGTGGTCCTTCCCTGCCTGACCCAGCTCCTGGGCCTTGAGAGCAGGCAGTGGAGGCACAAGCAGGGTGGCGTTACCTGCTCAGGTCTCTCACTGCCTTGTCACCCAGGTGGTTTGCAGACAGACTCAAGTGCACCAGAGCACAGCCTTCCTAGATAGAGCAGAGGTCCAGGGGGGCTGGACTGAGTGGGGACCCTGCCCTCCCTGCTGTTCTCCCAGTGGAGGCCCCATATCCCAGACACCTTCCCTTTTCCTTGGGAACGAGGGGGCAAAGACTGCCCGACTCCTGAGGCACCAGAGGGGAGCAGCGTCCCCTGAATTTGCAGATCAGAAGGAAACACCTCTCCTTCTGGTGCAAGTCACACTTTGCACACTGTGACATGAAAATCACGGGGACTCAGTCCTGCCTGGAAGAGCCCCCAGGAGAGAGTCTGGTGTGCCCCTTGGGACCTGCCAGGCAGCTCTACAGTAAGCTTCCCCAACAGCTGCTCTTTCCTACCCCGCAACCCTCCTGCCAGCCCCCTGCCCCCAGGCTTCAACTGCGGGACCTTTGGCCAGGGTTCCTTGGCTTGGCGCCCCTCCCTAACTGCATACCTTAGTTAGGTATCTGACCACGGGCTCCATGAGGCCTGTGTCACTCTTGCTGGCTGCCACGGAGTTGAGCTCCAGGCGCAGGAGGGTGTGGGTGGGCAGGCTCTGCAGGGCCTGGGCAAGGGCGGAGGTGCCCAGCATGTTGTAGGACAGGGACAGCGTCTTCAGGCGCTTGGCATCTGCACCGGGGCCCAGAACCTCTGTCAGCCACAGGTGGCCACCACCCCAGCCCTGCTGCGTAATCCTGGGCCCTAAACCTTCATAGCCCTCTGGGGAAGCTGTCAGGGGAAGCCCTGGGATTCTGTGCACAAGGAAACGGAGGCAGCTCTTGCCCAGGGTCTCCCAGCTGGGGAGGGGGCAGGGCCAGACGCCTGAGCCCAGCTTCTCCCCACCATTTCTGAGTCCCCTGACCACCCCCACTGACTACCTCTCTCAACCCCTGGGCATGCCCTCCTGATGGCAACTGGAATCCTGGGGCCAGGGAGCAAATGTACCTTGGAAGGCACTGCCCAGGGCCATCTGGTGGCTCAGGAAGACGCTGGGGCCAAAGCCACAGGCCTGGAGGTGCAGGGTGCTGAGTGAGGGGCAGGACCGTAGGACAGAGGCCAGCGCCTGGCCACAGCCATTGCCAAGGGGATTCATGCTTAAATCCAGCTCCTCCAAGTTCTGCCGAAGACACAGGGCCCCCAAAGGATCTGGTCTCCTTGCTGTGCCAGAGCTGGGCAGTGGCCAGCACTCCCAACCACACCTCTCCACCCAATGACCGGAGGAACGTGAACGTCCTGACACCGCCCTAGTGCCAGCCCGCTGTTCCCTGTGCCTCTACCTGCAAGGTGGTGTGCCCCAGGAGGCCCGTGGCAAGCTGGCGCAGGCCTTCAGGGCCCAGGTGATTAGAGGACAGGTCGAGGAGGGTCAGGCTGGGCACAGTGCCCAGGGCAGCCAGCAGCTCAGCGGCACATCCGTCCCCCAGCCGGTTCCCTGCCAGGCGCAGCTCCCGGAGTGCCGCGTGCAGCTTGAGGGCCCGCAGCAGGGGTGTGAGCTGGGCCTGGCCCAGGGCCAGGGAGCAGGCGCTGAACAAGGGGCCTGAGCCGTGGCGCTCCACGGCCTGCAACACCTGCTGGTGCTCCCCTGGAGGGGGTTGTGGTGTCACCAGGGCCAGAGTGCCTGTTCTGCCCCGTGAATCCAGGATGGCACACCAGGCGGCTGCTCCTTACTCAGGAGCCCCGGGGCACCCACTGGAGCTTCTGCAGGGCCCACTCCCACAAGCCTGTGGACCCAGCATGCTGTGAGCCCCGTGCATGGCCGGTGGATGGGGCTGACCCATCCCTTCCCCATCAGGCCCTCCCCAGCAGGGCCCTGACCCCCAAGAGCCACGCCCACACTTCACAGTCCCTGAGGCTAGCTTTCTTGGAAGCTTCCCTGGCGCTCCCAGCCATGCCACACTTCCCACCCGCGGCCAGCCTCCACGGCTCTGGTGGCTCTCTGCAGTTCCCCCTCCAGACAGAGCCATCTTCCCCCACCCGCCGTCCACATGTGTGGGCACTGGGTGGGGAAGGAACACCTGAAGACAGGTGTGGTAGAAGGGAGCCTGGGTGGACACCTGCGAGTGGCATGAGGAGGTGGATCCTGCACACCCAGCCCCTCTGCCCAGGCCGAGGGTCCTCCTGGGCCCCTACCTTGCTCCAGGCTCTGGCAGGCCCTGCGGTAGCGGTCGGTCAGTGGGGGGAGGTCCCAAGAAGTCACTTCAGCCAACACCTGGAAAGCACCATTGCCACACAGCCCCAGGGCCGCCAGTGCCAGGGCACA